AATAATCCTAATGACTATACACATATAATTTAAATATAATTTAAATGTTAGAGAAGTATTTAATGGCTTATTTAAAAAGAGGCCTTTTAAAATTTATTTCATTTGGGAATAATGTTTTGTATTTATTACCTAATAAAAATGCTTAAACAAAGGGTAAATATAAAAATATTATTATTAAAGTAGTGTAAGTTTCTTTAAATATATCTACAATGATAGTTTATAGGCGATCATCTACCAAAGATGGTCATCTTGAAATTACATTTATTTCTGAAAAAATAATTAAAAACAATTAGCTTGTTATTTATAACGTTCGGATTGCGCACTAACACTACAAAAGGATTTAACCCTTTTTTGAAAATCTTTTAATGAAAAAAATTGCAGAATCACTTCGAAATATTTCGTTTATTTTCTTAAATAGTAACATGCTGTAATGTAGTAAATTCACGAAACGAAATTTATATACATGAGGAAAGTTAAAATTCATTTTTAAAAGACTTAAATGTTTATGCAACATACTGGCAATAATCAGTTGCTATCTTTTAATAATTTCTGTTTGTACGGCAATGCACCTAATATCGTTAGGCACTTTCCCCTTTACGTTAGTTTTTTATTCGAAAACGAAATGCAGAGAAATACCCTCACATTATGAAACATAAACACTTTTTTGTGACATGTTTACGATGTGCTCTAGAGATGGCTACGTTAATGATCCCATTTCTTGCACTGTACAGAAAATGTTGAGAACATTCCTCAGACTTTCCTAAATACATTTGTTTAAGTTAGATTTAGGCTTTGTAAACATTTCAGTTCTAGAATAAACGATAAATATGAAAGATTCATATATGAGAGTGTTAGAGAGGTATATATCCATTTCTTTTTGTTGAACATAAATATTTGTTTAAAAAACAGGACGAAAATATTTTTAACGATAGAATAAATTAATCAGAAATATTAGCGCAAATTTCAAATGCTTATATATTAATCAGTTTTTCTCTTCACGAAAGTTTTACCATAGCTGGGCAAATAATATTTTCATTTCGGATCATTTTCGTTTCCAGTTTTATATTTCAAATAAGATTTAATAGTTTTTCTCTCTTTTCTTAATTACTACGAAATTCAACTCTTTAGCATTTTATAAATTCCGCCTTCGTTTATTTGGATAAAATTCAAGTTGACCTTTTCAAGTTCATTGATTGTCACAGTTGAATTATCATTACTTTCTTCATTATCTGGTTTTTAATTTTACTTTTGAAACAGAACTACAAAGTCGCTTCACTACTGCACTAGCATTTCTTCCTTAGCATTTCTTCATATATCAATAAACCAAAATTATTAAAAATTGAAAAAAATCCAGTTCATAAAAAACAATATTATATTTAATTAATACAAACTATATAACAAACATAAATGATAGAGAATAAATTTAAAAAAGCTAACGTTTATATTTAAAGAATATAAAATAACTTTGTTTCTACGCAAATGTAAAGCTGAAGCAGCAAGAAACAATATACATGAGCTTTGTTTATTTTAAAATGGCATTAGATGTGTTCAAAAGTTTCAACGTTAAGAATCATTTATCTTGATTTGGAATTTTAGGCTTTTTGGGCTACTTTATCCATCGTTTTCGCCTTTTAGACATTTTCCCGCACTTTTATTCCCCTTAGAAGGCAGTCTTGAGTGAATAATTTGTTGCAAATAATATCTTACCGTCAAATTTTATAATTTTGTTAAAGTTTCAAAGTCTTCCGTTTTGTGTTATACATTGAAAATTTCATAAGTGTGACACACACGCTTAGGGAGTTAAACTGAATGTTTTTTTCTTCTGCGTCTTTGAGGATGATAAGCAAAGGTTAATCAGTTCCCATCGCTTGTTTTAATATTCAGCGTTTTAGTCTAACAGTATTCTAGTAAACCACTTTCCTTTCTCTTAATGTTTCATTTATTCAGAATCGGCTGACTTAGTTTTGCCTTAAAATTCCTGGGTATTCAAGTCACAGAGCATAAGTTGTGCACCGTTTGTTTTTTCCCTATCTACTTGGTATTTTCGGAAAGCACTTACTATGCTATTATCGTGTTGATTTTCCTTTAAATTGATGTTATATTTTCAAATTATTTCCTTTCAATAGTTCTTTTAGATGAGCGTAATACACATTCATTTTTAAATGACCTTATTTATGCTTTCACGCTTTATTTTATAGATTTTCTTCTCGGAATTTTCACAGACTTTTATTTGCTAGAGAGTAAGAAATCCCATCTAGATGAGCCAGATATGTTCAATTCATAAAATCATGACTTAAGGACCATCGGAGCAGGTCTACGGAACCTGGAATAACCATAAAATGGGAAATGCTTAAAAGAGAGATTTCAATGAAACTACATTAGGGTTATTTTGTGTATCTGTCCATCTCTATTCTGAATGTCATACAACATACCTGAGGCATCCCAACAGCACTATTTACTTATCCGGATAACAATTTTAACGTCCTGTATGTCAATAACTTTCTTGACAAGAATTAATGTCTTCGTAACTCTGAAATCTTTTGTTGAAACATTTTTAGAATTTTATAAACCCATATGATGTATTAAATTCGATCGTTCGTATTTAAATTGGATAATTTATATTGATTTATATATTGTCACCTAATATTATCTGATGTTGTGTATATGCGTATATCCTACCTACCATATATTTAATATGATGAATTATTATTTTGATTTCACATATGTGATATGGATATCATCTTCCCATTCAGTTTGTTGTTTTGTTATAACGTATATGTTTACCTTCTTTATATAAAAAATTTATTTTTTTAAATGCAAACCGAACATAAATGTCACAGGACGAAACTCAGTAACAAACAAATTCTCAGATTCAAAATTCTAAAATTTGATTGAGTATTGTATTCCTTAAAGATCAACAAGACTGGACAAGGTAGGCTTAATAAAAGTAAAATTTTCAAATGAGTCGAAAATCTTAGTTATTGGTAAAATGCATTATGGTTTGGAATTTTGACCAGTTTGGTTTATATATCTTATGCGAATCGTCAGTGCTGCTGATTTTCGGCTCATTTGAAAATTTTACTTTTTTTAAGCCTACCTTGTCCAGTCTTGTTTATTTTTAAGGAATACAATGCTCAAATTTTAGAATTTTGAATCTGAAAATTTGTTTGTTACTGAGAGGGGTTGTATTTAATGGGCGAATCCTTTTTTGAGGTGGTCCTGGGTCAATGGTTGCATTGTAGATAGATAAATAGAACTGTAGATCAAATTTAATTTAAGATATCGTAAAATTACGATCCTACCATACACACGCAGTATTATGAGAGACTAGCATTTTCTAAACGATAATGACCAGAAATCCAGCACGTGAATATGGAAAACAATTTTTCCCAAGAAAAACCTGCCCATTCAGGTTTGGTCAGGGAACTGGTCATCACAGTCGTGTGCCTTAAATCGAATGTTTCAGAGCCCAGTGAAAAAAACAATACAAAGCAAAAAATCTAAGCAAAATTTGCTCTTAAAAAGAAAGCGATATCGTATAATGAAAAAAAAATATTAATTTCAATGTCTTAGTGATGTGTTTAGATTACTAAAAATAATGACCTCGGAATAAAATATTACGTATACATATATAATATTATACACCTAATATTATCAGACCAGTATCAGAACCAGGAACACAACCAGACTAAGGGTGTAAAAGACCCTACTATTGAACGTAAATATAATTTACAGACGACACGGACTTACGTGCTTACAAGCACCGGCCATTTTCGTTGAGAATTTAAAAGATGCGTAATACTAAACTTAAAGGTAGGAGCAGTACAAGGCTACACACTAAAATTTAAAGCTAACAGGTTGACTCAGATCATACACAGGCAGATTGTAATTCGGCAACAAGAATGCGTAGCCGATACGTAACAGCTGGAAGAATTAACAACGTGCGCTCACAATAGCGACATCACGATCTGTTAAAACGTTCGCTCCAGCAGTTTAAATTCTCTCGTTCACACTAACTCATTGACATGCTGGCTAGTAAAGGGGAGAGGAGTAAGAGAGAACAGAAAAGGCTCACAAATTAAAATAACTGTTAGTAAAATTAAATGAAAACCTACAATCTAAAGTACGTCATCTGAAAATTAATCTACATTACACTATTATATAAGATCAGGATTGCTGATATTTTCTATGCAATCATAGACCAAAATTTAAACAAATAAAACTGATTAACTTCTCTGTATGAGTAATGAATCATGAAGTAGTTATAAAAATTATATTACATATATATGTGTATAAATAGATCTAAATTCATTTAATATTTTTAATAAATTATTTTTATTATATATATATAATATATATACCATATATTATATATATAATATATATATACTATATTATATATATATATATATATAGATATATATATATATACATATATATATATATAGTAAAATGTAGAAAAAGGCATTAAACATCGAGTGACCTAGTATGTCAACTCAAAAAATTATATATGATATATACAATATATATGATCTAAATTTGATTTAATATTTTTAATAATTTATTTTATCACATATATATACAGGGTATACCGTAAATTTTGCGACAAACTTCTAGTGAAGGTAGGGCACACCATAAGATTAAAAATTGCATAGAAACCCATGCCTGGAAATGTCTGGGGTGAATGGTAGCAGAGGTAGAAGATGAGAAAAGAAACAAGAGTAATTAATTTGAAACATTTATTGGACATGAATACAAATGGTGTACGACAGCTTGAATGTTACAACAAATGCTCGAAGTTTACACCCTCACGCTAAACATGCCTTTATACTGACGGACCATTTATTGCCGGATATGTTCAAACTCACCAGGAGTTCCTTTGATTGTAGAAGCTGCGCAGGCGAGTCTTGTCACGAGATTCATTTCAGACACAACAGGATCGTAATACTCGACAATTTTGATGGCTTACGACAAAAAGAAATCAAGGCGCGATAAATCCGATGAGCGTGGGAGACAGGGAACTGGTCCACTACGTCCAACACATCGATGCGGGAATGATATGTACAAATGACTACGAACATCTAGTCCAAAATGAGCAGGGGCTCCATCATCTTGGAATCACATGTTGTGCCTCGCATTTGGTAGAACATCGTCAAGCACATCGGGAAGAACCAGTTCCAGAAAGATCAGATAATTCGCCGCATTCAAATGGTCCGTCGGTGTCAGGTTTTTTGGCGTCTGATGGTGCAAGCTTCTAGCATCTGTTTTATATTCAAGCTCTCATACACCATTTGTAATCATGTCCAATAAATATTTCGAATTATCACTCTTGCTTCTTTTCTTATCTTCTACCTCTACTACCACTTACCCCTGACATTTCCTATGCAATTCTTAATCCTTATGATGTGCCCTACCTCCTCTAGAAGTTTGTCGCAACATTTACTGTACTTCCTGTATATATGATCACATTCATTACAGATTCTAATTCTCTACAGTCTTAAGCATTTGTCAAAGAAAACGTAATATAAATTTACATTCATTTACAATTATTATTCAGAAGGAAACGTATTTAATTTTATTAATGCACAAATAAATGATGGATTCTTTAATACTAAAAGCATAATATTCTATATTTCAATTTAATATAAACTAAATAAATAGATTTTTGATTTAACTTCATACATTTTATATATTTACTCTCTACATATCTTAAATATCGTAAATGAAACTCCATCATACTCCATATTATAAACTGCTTTCTAAGCTATCGTTGGAAACTGTAATCATTATTTCCAATGCATTATTATTAAACATTAAAATATCCAAATTACAGTTGCTCGTAAAATGACATTTCATTTCTGCATATGACCATGCAGATATCATTTTTTTTAGTTGTCTTATTTCTCGCACATATTTATTTTCGAATTTAGTTTCTGAGGTACTTAATTTGCAAAAGGGATTTACTGAAACGGCGATTGAAAGAACAATAACAGAAGTCCATGCTAAAAAGAAAGATGACAAGGAAAAATTCAGAATTAGGTTGAAAATAAACTTTAGTTGGCATTTTCATAACTTCTGATTTTAAGGGTTAATGATGTAAGTTCCGCTCTTTCCGTAGGAGGAAAAATTGCCCTTTTATTTTATATTGTATTTATTTATCTTCATTTTTTGTTTTGTCTTGTTCTGAAGAAAATGAGCTTGTGTCGATAACTCATTAAATTTTGCATAAAATCTATGACAATGTTTAATTTTTCTTCCTTTAAAAAATGTTCTAATGGATGAGCCATAGTTTGAAGTAAGTTCTTCAAATACCAATATATTCCGGACTAAATTTCCGTTTAAATATTTTCTTAACTATTGTCATTTGTAGTAAATGTAAATATAAAGATAAATAATTAGATGCCATTTTTAATACAAACAAGTTTGTTATAACCATTGCATTTGCTTTGTTTTAGACATTCACTAGTTACATGTTCCTTTAATTTGCCTTAAAAAATGTATGACTGCTTGTATTTAACAGGACACGAAAATATCAATATTCCATTTACCTCCGCAAGCAAATTCAATGAAATTCATTTTGTATGCATCACAGAAGTTTACTTACAGCAATTCGGAATTCCAGCTAAGCCACAATGAAGTTAGACTTTCAGTTAAACATTAAGTTCCGGTGTTAACCAACCATTCGGCGAAATCAAAACGAGTTTGACCATTGACTAATGGAAACTGACACAAACGGACAGGCACAGGGTAAATTTTCTGACCGCAGTCTACTTCACAGCCTGACGCATTTCGTTGAAGGCTCATTAGTCATTCCCCATCCCCCCTCGCAGTCGGCGGGGTAATCTCCTGGAATGACTCTTCAATCAACAAACCAAATGAAACGGCAGAACGAATATCGAAAATTACTCTCTCCTTCCCCAAATTTTATCCCTATCAATAAGTGGGGGTACAAAGCACTATTACGTCCAACGTCTATTGTGGTCTTTACTGTCAGGAATGAGGAAAATATATGCCCAACTTTATTTCATTTCGTATTTGTTATGATCTCTTGGATTAGCGTATAGGGTGGGAGAACCGCCGCTATAAACTGGATATTTTTTCCACAGTTAACGCCAGTGACACGTGAAAGAAGAAGCGCGCTTTGTGCGACAAAAGGGCAAAGGCCTTTAAAATTTAATTGTACAAATTCTGTCTCCAATTAAATGTTCAGTTACATTAACAGAAAAGAAAAGAAAGAGAAGTGTGCCTACACACACAATTATTAACCTTTCCCTTAACAGTGCATTAAAGGTTAAGCCATTGTGTAAGCCATGCCTATTATATACTAGGGCTACCTGTCTCAGGAGAGATAGACGCCTTTTTGGAGAACTTTCTTAGGGAAATTGGGCTATATTCACGTTATACTTGGGGAAAGCAAGAAAATGCATGCAGCCAGTCCGTTTGCCTGGAATTGAACCCAGGCCAAACTATCAGTGTTCATCGACTTTACCGTCATGCCGCTGGTGGGCTCCACAGATAAGCTACCAGAAGTAAAGCAATGCTCAAAGTAAAGTTTAAACACTGACAGTTAGAACTGTACTTTTCCTGTAACTTTATCAAGAGTATTGTTTGATTATCTACTGTTTGATCTCAGTAGCAAATTTGACTAATATCGTTTCCTTCAAATAGATAGAATCAATCATATTTTCTCCAAATTAATTTAACATTCCAAGTTGAAAGATATTTTTTATAAACGATGAATATCTAATAATTAATGCAGACCCTCTCTCTCTATAGAAGCATATATATAGATAGATAGATAGATATAGATATAAGAGATAGATATAGATACCTGATATATTTGCCACATGTATGCGTTAAAATTATGTTATGTTCTATATAATTTGCATTCATAAGTACGTGTGTATAATCCAACACTTCATTACCTAATAATATTAATTCTAAACTTTCAAACCCTTGTTTGCGTATAAATGTATATATATAAAGCCTCTAACGCAAAAAGAATAACTTTCAAACAACAGACCAGCTAGCATGAAATCTTGTCGTTTATCTTAATCACGGAAAGCATTTTCTTATAATCTCGGAGTACTTCCTTAACTTCTCACATACTCAGCCCATGAAATGAGATTTATCACAGTTTTAAAAGTCCATCAGGTACATTTTTTATCATGGAAGTTTCAGAATAAATGTTAATGAGTGAGTAGAGAGCGGAAATATAACTTCTGGCGCTTACAATCTCTAAAGAAACACTCCATTACTTGCAGATGTGAAGTTTAAATGAATCTGCAAATGCAGTTCTTTGCTTAATGAATTAGAAAGATAAAACTCATCACTTCAAAAGCAACGTTCAGCGTTTTATTTTTATTATCCAAAGTATTTTACAAATATTTACTGCTATAAAAGTTTTCTAAATAAAAGAACTGCAATAAGTATGCATTTAAAATAAATGTGTTCGGCAACTTCTTTACGTTTTCTAAATGATTCATTTTAGAAAGATGGTTATTTTTTGCACACATTTTAGTATATATTATAAGAGTTAGAATAAGCTTATTAACATAAACAACACGGCTAATTTATGAATTTTCTTTTACTTCACCTATACTAATTTTGGATTTTTTTAGTACAACTTACTTATGCTTGTTATTTTCAGGATTTTGCGTTTTTCTGATAATTTAACAGATACAGACAGAATAGTTTTGTCCTCCTAATATTCTTAAGGTACTTCAATTGTCTAGTTGGGAGAATTTAAAAACACGGAAACACTAATAAATCACTAAGCCAAACATGAAGAGAAACTATCTCAGAATTCTGAATTTCTCTACTTCAATTTCTGTGAAACTAATAAGTTTCCTGGTTTAATTATGCGTTTTTTTTTTTTTTATTTTTTTTATTTTTAACATACTTATTGAAAATAGTCTAAACAAATAAGTGCGCATATAACTATAGTAAAGATTTGAAAACAGTATTTACATTAGCACGATGCGTGAAAGAAAATTTCCAAAAGAAACTACTATCGAGATGCCTTTCCGAAAAGAGGTGGGAAATAGCTGCTCCTTCAATTTCACTTTCTTTCACATAGAAACGAATTTCCTTCCTGTAACAATAAAAGAGCAGCAGTATGTGCGGTTACACAATGCAGCTTCAATCTCTAAGGAAGAAAACTTTTTTTTTTCCCTTAAAGAAAAGGTCTACTTTAAATTACTTTTCTTCTTTTAGGCCTTTTGAAACTTCAACACATTTTCGAACTGACCACCGAGGACTATAAACTGGATGTCCGAATAGTGAAGAGGATAACGAACGCCTCAGACGCCAATGAATTTCTGCGAGAAATTGAAAGTTTGGATGCTGAGAGCCGAAAATATATAATTCTTGACTGCAGTGCTGAGAACGGCAAAAACATAATAGTGAACCATGTTCATGACATTTACATGGGAAGGAGAAATTATCATTTCCTTCTCACTAGCCTGGTGAGTGCGTTTTTTACTTTACTATCATAAAATCATATTATTTGGTAATAAAGTGTGTATTAATCTTTATATCATATTCCATGAGATAAAAGTTTCCCAGCATTATGTTAAGATGCTCAAAGTTTAATAGAAACCTTGAAGTTATTACTGAAGTTAGAGCATCTCTTAATCTCGCTGGAATCATATCAGTTTAGGCGCAGAAAATCGGGTGTTTGTTAAACGAATATAATTTTGCTAATTCATTTCAGTTTAGTTTGCTTAAAATCCATTCTGCGTGAATATGTTAACTTGTCAATGGTAAACATATTTAAACTGTTATCTTTTACAAAATTTTTTGCAACTTTAGTAATAAGTTTTAATCAAACTTTTAAGTGAATTTAGAGGCAGTAGAAATGATAAATTTTTATAATAAACAATGAAATATTATTCACATTAGACAAGGAAATTACAATGTGATATATTACTAAACCCACCAAAAAATAACAGTAAAAAAATCGAGTTTGCTTTTTAATTGAGAAGTCCTTATTAATTTATCTGCATATAAGCTAAAACATTTAGTTTACTTTACTCCTATTTGAGAACATAATATGAAATATTTTCATTATATTTTTTCCTTATGTTTATTTCTTATATACCTAAGAAAAATTAAATATAATAACATGAATGTAAAGATGATCCATGTTCTGATTCGAAAATGACTAGACTTGGAAAAAGGGGAAAAATTATCTTTAAATATAATCTCCTTACTCAAGATTTCCTACAAAACCATTAATGCTAAAAGTGTGGATTTCAGTACCTATTACTAAATTTCTCTTTTCAAAAACCGGTAAGTTTATTTGTTTACTTACGTACATTGTAATTTTTTATGATTGAGATGATTTACAGCTGACAGAATCAATAATATTATTGAGTTCCGTACCCCTTTAATAAGTCTAGAAACACTTTTGCATTATAAGGCCCTGTATAACAAGGTATGGTTTTTCAATAGGGTAAAACTTATATTATTATAATATTTATAATAGCAATTGATTTAAGAGAATGAGTTTCAATCAAATATTTAAATAACTTAGACGCTGCAGAGATGGCAGCCATAGAGATTAAACAATGACATAGTTATACCGCATATTACACAACCCATTACAAAACAGAAGTTAAATAAGAAAAAAGATTTCTGACTATATTTTCTTAACTTTATTGAACAATTTAAAATCGATATTTCGCAGCAGTCAGCATATGTTCTTTATGTTACTTAAACTTTATCCTGTCTTAATGATCTTTTAATTTCTAAATCGTAAAAGTCAAACATCAGTCAAGCAAAGGTTTATATGTTGTCTACCTTGAATATTTAGAAATTAAAGAGTAAAATATCTTACAATCTTGCGTTTGCATTTTCATTTCTGGGCCTAATTTTATTTGAACTTCAAGTATAGTACGTTGATTCAAAAGAATGTTACGTGTTTCACCCGTTAGTATTTTATACCAAGTGAAATAAATCATTCAATTCTTAGCGAAAAGCAAAGAAAAACTAAATATTTAATGAACATATTGAGCAACCTGTAACATAAAAATCTAAGTTAAGCTCAAAACGCTTGGGGGAAAAGAAGACTACGTAAAATCCCCGCAACGTAAGGGAGAAAACTATAATTTTGGGGAAGTGCTCATTTACTTCAGGAAGTAATTTCTTTAGGAATTTCTGAAATCGCCGCTTTAGAGAAACTGATTATGGCAAACAAATTCCAGGAAGAACATCCCACTGTAGTTAACATTTTAGAATATTAATGTAGTCATTTTACTGGTGACTAGAATAACAAAGTAATCTCAGTATTTTAAATAAAAATTACATGAATGTGAATAGTATGGAAATGTAAGGAATCATGGGAATTCTTCAAAAACGACGTGCTCTTGACGTGTTTAAGCGGTAGGAATAAGATGTACTAAGATTGTACACTTCGGATGTTAATAACCTTAATTCTCGGTCATTTATTACTTTGTTCTTAAGATAGTAAATGGACTCTTAAGTAACAATTCCTGTGTCTTGTATTAGGACGTTAATATATATATATTATGTATAAACAACAATAATGAATTTATATCTTATTCCAAAAGTAAATATAGTTACAACATTCAAAAATAAAAAGAATAATTTAAATGTTTCAGCTGTTCGTGCTACTGGAATATTTTGCTAAAGATTGTCCAAAACGGAAAGATAATCGCTTTGGGCAAAATTGCAGTGAAGTGGAACGCACGCAAAACTCTAGATAAAAGAGATCAGATTAATACCATGGATTTTCCGAACTTATCCGTAAGCGCAATTGAAGCAAATTAAAATTAACAAAGGGGAACCAGTAAGATGTTCATTAAATGCTGAAAGCTATATGACATGATTTGGAAGAATTGATTTTGAGATTACATTTTCCAGTGAAACGGAGTACAAAGAAATCGGAAATACTGATTATTCATCCGCAGATTTTTGGGTAAAATTCAAAATCAGTACTGAATCGAAATCGTATTAACTGCAGATTTATTTGTATGTTAAATCGAAGTTACATTCGTGATCTAATTTATAAGTAAAGATATTATATATAACAAAATTTTGTTTAAAATTCAAAAGGCTGTTCATCGTGGCTTTATAAATCAACAAGAGATTTTTCTTTCATATTATTTGAAGTTTCACGTTTATAAACATATGATTAAGCATAAACTTTTATCTATGAGCAGATTTACATTTTCATAAAGGTATCTGTATATGAAGGATATTAATTTGTTCTTTCATGATTAAGCACTTTTACATTTGAAAGACATTAATTTCAGTCTAAATGGTAATTTTAATTCATCAAATTTGATTAAACGTCTGGAAAGATATCTTCTCTTTTTTAGCAGTTTATTCTTATTTTACATTTCTGATCCAAGAGAAAATCTTTAGAAAGAAATGGAGTATTTTCAGGTGAGATTTTAAAAGTCTCAAGAAATTATTATAAAATTGAAAAAGACGTTTAAAACTGAGAACTATGGTCACGTTGTGGGAGTTATTACTACCCTCAAATATCAAAATAATATTCGTTTCATCATTATAAATGCTTGCATTCCCGGTCAGTATTGTAACTACAACTGTTAAAAGATTATATAATGAACTAACATTTTGGAATAAATACTCGTTTGAACGAGCGCTTGAAACTAAAATGTCTGTGGCTGACATATCTATGTTTACAATAGTTCTTCGCATAATGAATGAGTAGGAGGGAAATTGATTTGTATGAGATCTGAGGTATTCCTTTCTTTTAGCATACTGCCTAATGTAAATTGTAATTTATATCTAGATTTTAATTGTTTCATACAGTCCCTTCAAATTTAGTATTATTTTTTATAATAAAAATAACGTGTGATATACTTTTAGTTAAATTACCCTAGCTGCAAAATTTTCTGGTGTACTGAAAATATGCAATCAAGCTATAAAATGGACACTTTATAGTCTAAAAAATTTAAAATATATAATCAGAGGTTTTTAATTTTTACAATAATGTTCGAATGTAAACGGTTATTGTAAAAATGGTGCTAATTCAGAAAACATCTTTTGAGCGTCATTATTTACTTTGTAACAAATTTTACAGTTAATTATGCACAGGATAAATAGACAAGGCAAACGATAGCAAATCATAACATGTTAGACGTCAAGTCATATCTTAGTTGAACATAAAGCTGTAAATTTTGAAAGTGACTAGGTGATACTAATCATGACTCAAAGGCATCATTTAGATCAAGGCGAGAAGTCGAGAATTGTCCGTAAGACTTAAAGATTAAATACATTTGGAATCTCCGGGTGACTGAATATTTCACAAACCTTTATCTCAAGAATTTTAAAGTTTTTTTTAACATGGGAACTACTAGTGACCTAGTTAATTAAATTTGTTTCATGGAAATTGCAGTATTGTCAAGCATTGTCAGTATTTATCACTGTTGGCATGAACAAACCATTACGCAGCCGATTCACTGTTGACTTGAAATCTTTCAACAAGCACTGCTACCCGAATACTCACAACTAAAGGCTTAAAAGATACGGTCTTCATGAAAAAAGATCATTGCGATGAGTTCTGTTTTCTGTGTTTACTAAAGAACAATCTTTAAAATGCATTTTCATCGTTCAAACCAGAAGATTGGGCCCAAGTATCCGTCATGGAAGATTCCACCTTCAGTTTATTAATGGTTCTGGGTGTACGTTCAATCGAACATAATTTCGAACACCGAACCTCACATCGCATCTCGCATCTCCATGAAGACATTGTTTCCCTCGTGATGGTTTTTGTTTGTTTGTTTAAGGAATAATAGTGCTAAACAGCGGCACCGAGCTTCATATCTACGACACGTCTTCTCTTAATGCGCAGAGGTACGTATTTGAGTTTATCCGTTCCCAAGTAGGGCTGTTTGGAAATGCAACGTGCCCATATGTTCTGTTGGATTATGAAGACTCTCTACATCATCGTAATGCTGTAGTAGATGAATTCCTTTTATTTGAGAATATTTTTCGAACGAACAGGTCAAGACACTCTCCAGATGTCAATGAGCATGTGTCGGATATCTCCGATTGGCGAACCGAGGAGCACCAGATCCCTCCTCCAAGGCTCCAGGTACTTAGACAACTTTTCTTGGAAAACTGACGCTTCTTATCTTAGTATTCAATTGGTGTTTTAATTAGTAACATGGAAATATGTCGTGGAACGTGCCTTTTTGGCTAAAGGAAATCATGCATCCTATAAAATAATTGCATCTTGGAAAACAGATGAGATGCAATTTCCTTTTTTCAACTATTTGCAGGGTTTGGCATTAACAGTAAAGTTTTAGCATTATTCGAATTATAAATAAGGTAATGTGCTGTGTTGAATGTTTATAAAAAAATCTTCATGTCTTTTCGTCCTGTAAAGAAATTTTTGTTTGATTTTAATATTTCTCTTTTATTATTATTTACCATAAAATCCAAGATATTTTATAAGCGAAATACTGAGTTC